ATGTTCTTCCATTTATGTAGATCTCTTATGATTTCTTGAAGTAGTTTTTTATAGTATTCTTTGTAGAGGTCCTTTGTGCCCCTGATGAGATTTATTCCCAGGTATTTTATTTTTTTGTTAGCTATTGTGAATGGTATTGATTTCCTTATTTCTTTTTCAGCAATCTCTTTGCTGGTGTAGAGGGATCCAGCTGATTTTTGGATGTTGATCTTGTATCCTGCCACAATGCCAAATCTCTCAATGAGTTCCAGTAGATTTTTGACTGAGTCTCTTGGGTTTTCTAGGTACAGGATCATATCATCAGCAAATAGGGATAGTTTGACTTCTTCCTTTCCTGAGTTGCTCTTGATGTTCTTTGCTGTTCTCTTTCTTATCCATTAGAGTGGGTGCTGTCCTCTCTCACGCTTGACCTTAGAGCAATCTGATCTCCCCTCAACAACTTGTGTTTCATGGAAACAGGACCTAATGTGGGTGCTTCTGTTCTGTGACTTGTTCTCATGTTAATTGCATGCGTTTCTCTGGTCCTCTCTGGCCTGCTCTTTGGGGCAGCACCTCCTGGATTGGTCTTGTACATTACTTATGGGAGAAGACATTTTCTTAACTTCCTTTCCAAGCTACTCTGTGGAATTCAGTTTTCATAATTATACTTAAATATAGCTAAACTCTTTCTCTCTTTGTTTTTGTTTTGTAGCAAACTCGGGTTTTTCATGGTTGGTTGTCTCTTGTTGCGCTGTGTCTGAGGCCTTGTGGCAGCTATTAGGAGACTCCTCTGGGTACCAGGCTCCTTGCTGCTGGGCTTGTGTTGAGAAGCGCCGAGCTCACAGTTGCCTGGACCCCTGTGTGCGGAGCCTTTGTTACCTGGCTGACTTCACTGTGGCATGTCCACTTGACAGTTGACCGGTTAGTTCAGAACCTCCAGAAGAGCCCCTGGCAAGGTTTTCCTCAGGGCACTTCAGTTCTCCAGTCAAGTATCCTTTGATTTCATGTGGCCACTCTGTGCTGGGAGAGCGGAGACTGGCGGGCTCCTGTCCGTCCTCCATCACTACTTTGGTACAGAGATCTGACTTTGCAGCTGGCTCGCCTGCTTTCAACCTCATATTCAACCTCAGGAATCTGGCCACCCCTCTCCTGGGTTTTGGGGGTGAGAGCATCTCCTTTCTCACCCATGTCCTCCACGGGGCACACTGTAGGATGTGGCTTCTTCCTCTTGGCTGAGCAGTCACAGCACAGATGTGTGAGTGGCCACTGTGTGCTCTCCCAGCTGCCTCCGAGGTTTCCAGTGCTCTGTCACCGTGAGCAAGGCCCGCCCAAGGCTGCCGCCTGCAGTGCCCAGCCTCTGAAGGCCTCACAGCCCTGCTTGTGGAGATGTCTCTTTGGCTTACGTCTTTTCTTATTTATTAGGTATCTTTTAAGAGGCAAGGAGTGGCCTTAAAGGGCTGCATTGAATTTACTCTTTTCCAGTCACTTTTGAGCCTTATCTCAGTCTCTCACCAGTGAGGCCATTGAGTTTCCATTCTTTGGCATCAAGCATGGCAGGTTATATAAGAAGGGAGGATTTATTGTGAGGTTGGCAAACAGCACCAAGTAAAGCAACTTCAAAGCAGCCTCCCATCTCATAGCAGTAATTATTAATAGATTTGCCTAATTTCATTCCAAATTGTAACTTACAAGTTATAACTTTTTTTTTTTTTTTTTTAACTAGGTCAGAAGAAGAGTGCACGTCAGTATCATGTCCAGTTCTTTGGTGATGCCCCAGAGAGAGCTTGGATATTTGAGAAGAGCCTTGTAGCTTTTGAAGGAGAAGGACAGTTTGAACAGTTGTGCCAAGAAAGTGCCAAACAGGCACCTACGAAAGCTGACAAGATTAAGGTAACACATACTCCTCCTATTAATCAATTTTAATGTTTTTCTTGAAGGTACATTTATCATATTTTGAACATATATTTGCTTGAAATATCACAGTGGCTTCTTTTATCTATTGTTGAGTGCTTATTCCCCCAGGAATGCTGTGTGGTGTTTGGGAAGTTTCTTTACAGGCACAGTTTATTCTCATTCGCTCATCTGATGACCCCCAGAGAGAATCAGGTCACAGTGCTTACCTTCCTTTACGTTTTGTAGATGCCACTTGGTCATGGCATTGGAATCGATCTCCACTTTAAAGAAATAGTGGAGTCATGATAGTGAGCTGTATTTTGTCTAAATCCTTCTGAGAATAGTTTCATAGTTTCTGTAATTTTTGATTTCTAACTTGATCTGACATTCTAAAAATATCCTTCTGTAAAGTTAGCTAATTTTTATGTTTGTGTAATGGAATTTACCATGTCTTATGTTTTTCTTTTCAGCTGTTAAAACCTATTTCTGGGAAATTGAGGGCCCAGTGGGAAATGGGTATCGTTCAAGCAAAAGAGGCTGCAGGCATGTCAGTAGAGGAGCGGAAAGCCAAGTTCACCTTCATCTATGTGGGGGACCAGCTTCATCTTAACCCTTGCGTAGCTAGGGAGGCAGGCATTGCTGCAGAGTCCCCAGGAGTGGTCGAGGCATCAGGTGTCGCTGAAGAAGCTGCTGACAACCTTGAGTCTGTGAAGGAAGAGGGTGTTCCCGTCAAGAGAAGACGGCGAGCCAAGCTGCCCGGCTCTGCCGAAGGCCAGGAGAGCTCTCCCGGGACAGCAAGCACCACTCCTCAGAAGACAGCAGAGACAGACCCCAGAAGAGGAGTGGGGTCTCCCCCCGGGAGAAAGAAGGCTGCAGCCTGCACCCCGCGAAGCAGGAAAGGCGACACAGTGGCCCAGTTCTTGGTCTTCTGTCAGAAGCACAGGGATGAGGTGGGTATGAGGCTGCACCCTGCAGCACTGTGGTAGGGTGCTGGGCGCTGGGCTTTGAGAAACGCCCTGTTAGTGGCTCAGCACGGTCAGCCGAGTCTGTGGGGGACGCTGCTCTGATTCTAGATTTCCTAAGAAGTACTGCTCAAAGCAGCCATTCTGACCCTTAGCGGCAGCTCCTTGCCTTTTCCACTCTGAGTGATGAAAATGTTCCCTACCGTGTGGATGAGAAGATACTGGGACAGCAGGAAATAGGTGCAGGGGCTGTCTCTGCTGGAAGCCTCACCTCAACCTTCTCATGTTCTGCAACTAGAACCCGAGCCAGCTGCTGTTAACTAGCTGCCATCGGCTCTGTTCCTGACTCCTGGTGACCACATGTGTACAGAGTAGAAGTGTGCAATAGGAGTTTCAAGGCTGTGACTTTTCAGAAGTAAATTACCAAGCTTCTCTTCCAAGGCCCTCTGGGTGGGTTTGAACTGCCAGCCTTTTGGTTAGTAGTCAAACACGTACACGTCTGTGCTCCTAGGGACCTAACTCCGTTGTCTTATGTACTGCTGCTATAACAGAAATACCACAGAGTGGGGCTTTAGCGGAGAGAAATGGGTTTCCTCGCAGTTTAGAGGCTCGAAGTCTGAATTCGGGGCGCCAGCTGTAGAGGAAGGCTCTCTCTCTGTTGCTCTGGGGGAAGGGCCTTTTCTCCTTTCACCTTCTGCTTCTTGGTTCCTTGGTGACCTCCTGTGGCTTGGCCTCTGTCTTGCCCTATCTGTGCTAGCTTGCTGCTTCCTGGGTCTACTCTTTTCTCCTCAAAAGACAATGACTTAAAACACACCCTACACTAGCATGACAAAGAAAACCTATTCAAATAGGATTATAACCACAGCTACAGGGGTTAAGATTTACAACACATTTTAGGGGATACAATTCAATGCATAGGCACTCATTTGAAAAGATCAAATATACTACTAGCATTGTGACTAAGGGCTCCAGCATAGCCAGGATTGTGAGCACCGCGCATGACTGGGCAGTGTTTCCTTCTGTTGTACACGGCGTCGCAATGAGTGGGAACTGACTCAAGGACACCTAACAACAAGAGCTACAACATCTACTAGCATTAAGTATGCGGGGCTTGTTTCCACAATATTTAAAAGGACAGTAATGATTTAAAATATTCAAATAATTTTCTTAATAAAAAACTAAAAACCAAACCCACTGCTATGAAGTTGACTCTGACTGTTAGTGACACTTTAGGACAGAGTGGAACTGCCCTGTACGGTTTCCGAAAGGAGGCTGTTAATTTTTGGGTGAAAATTTACAGAGCAAATTCACTTTCCATACAGCAGTTCAAATACACTTTGTCTTATGACGTTGACCACAATTCACCACAATGCAACAGTTCCCTTCCCACTTCTTCCCGACAGTCACCTCTTCCTTTTGTCCATCTCTCCATGCACCCCTACCCCCTGAGCTGTCTCCCTGTGCATAAGCAGCCCTTCTTTCTCCCATGATTGTTCTCTCCAGGGAGTGTATCTACCTCAGGTAAACGTTCAGCTCATATGCCTGTCTTTTGTTTGGCTGGAAGCCATGGGTGTGGGTTCAATACCAGACCTGAAGGGCAGCTAGGGACTATAATCTCGGTGGTTCCACCAGGCTCTATCAGACCTGCAAACCTGGTCCCCCTTTTTTTTACTTTTTCCAAATGATTTTGAGTTTTGTTCCACATTGTTCTCCCTCTTTATCCAGGATCTCCTACATAGATCCCCCTCTGAGTGGTTTACAGTGGTAGCCGGGCACCATCTAGTTCTTCTGGTCTCATAGTCATATAGGCTGCAGATTGCATGGTGTACCAGTTACCAGGACTAATTGTTTCCATGAGTCTTTGATTTTCTTCTTTCTTCTTTGCTCTGGATAAGGAAAGATCCATTGTTGCATCTAGATGACTGCTTGCAAGCTTTTAAGATCCCAGTCGCTACTTGCTAAAGTAGGAGGTGGAACAATGTTTTGTGTAGTATGTTATGCCGATTGAGCTTGATGTCCCCTGTGACTATGGTCCTGAGGCCACAGGTTCAACTGCTCGGTCCCTCTGGGTAGCTGGCTGTAACCAAGAAGTAAGGCTGTCAGTCTTTAAGGAAGCAAAGCCCAAACCAAATTCACGGCGCCACTAGAGGGCAGAGGAGAACTGCATCATAGAGTTTCCATGGCTGTCATCTTTCTGGAAGCACAGCCTGAACCAAGCCCACTGCTGTGGAGTTGATTCTGATTCTGTGGAGTCTCACAGCGCCCCTAGAGGACAGAGTAGATTTGCCCCATAGACTTTCCCAGGGTGTCAGTCTTTACAGAAGCTGACTGCTTCACCTTTCTCCCATGGAGCAGCTGGAGGATTTGAACTGCCAACTTTTTGGTTAGTAGCAAGATGCTTTAACCACTGTATCACCAGAGCTCCTTAATTTTCTTACTGGTTTTCATAAAATACACACTCTTGTTAGTGCATAATGAAGGCTCCCTTCATTGTAAAGACTTAATGGCTAGGCTCCCTGTTCTTTTGTTGTTTACTTGTTACATGAAGTGAGTGGGTTATGTAGTCCAGGCCTCTTTGTTATGGTGTTTGTTTTAATTTTACTGTCTTGGGAATTTTCTGTTCAGGAGTCTAAATCCATATGGTGATTAAAAGTACCAGTGAAACTAGTGTCTCCTTTCCATATTTTTTCTTGAATGTTGTACTGGCACCTGTTTGTGGCAGGCGGCCCAGCACAGGGGGGGACTGGGAGGAATTCCGACAGAAGTGTGAATGCGTGGTTGTTTGTGGCAGGCAGCCCAGCACAGGGGCTCCAGGAGGAATTCCAACAGAAGCGTGAACGCGTGGTTGGGGTGCCGCAGGAAATCCTCATGATAAAATGCTTTTCCTCCCCTAGGTCGGGTGTGAGAGCTTCAGTAGAAAAATGGTGCCTTTCCAAGTGGCCAGTAGGGCTTTTCTCAGCATGGCAGTCTGTGATCATGACTTACTTTGGTAGCAGATTAAATGATCCTCCAAGAAGTGGAGGGAATCATTTGATTCAATTCATTGTTCTTTTGTGATGTTGAAGGTGTCTCGGTTCTTTAGTGCTGCTATAACAGAAATCCCAGAAGCGGATGGCTTTAACAAACAGGAATCTATTCTCTTGTGCTTTAGAAGGCTAGAAGTCTGAATTCAGAGGTGAAGGCCCCTCATCCATAGGCTTCAGCTGTGCCTCTTATTCCAGGCCCGCTGCAGCTGGAGGTGTCTCCTTACTCATGCAGCAGATGGCTGCCGTGGCTGATGAACCCGAGTTTGCCAGTTAAAATGGCACAACCCCAAGATCAGAAGGCAACATGGCAGGCCACTGGTTCACGTCCAGGAACTGGAGATGAAGACTCGGGTCAAGTGCAGGATCTAAAATGTGCCCCCAGACTAGAGACTTCCCTCAAAGCTTCTCAGGATATACTGGAAGCAGGCTATCCCCCGAAGGCAACCACTTAGCTGCGCGCAGCAGATTCCACCACGGAGCTAGTTCCAGCCTCCTCGTGGAGAATGGCTGCATCCAGCTGCCCAGCCAGTGCAAACCACGACCCAGCCAACCTGACAGCCAAGTTCACCGCCACAGAAGAGCTGCGAAAGACTCAGCAGGTGTACTTGCTGCTGAGATGTTAGACGCTTCCTCACATTTAGGACCAAGACAGGCTGCCTTCTGTCACCACGTACATCAAACGTTGTTTGAAGAATAGTAGCCACTACAGTAAGATTAAAAAAAAAAAAGAAAAAGCTGACATTGCAGGCATGGTTGTCTATGTAGAAGGCCCAAGATTTCAGAAAATCTTTAGAAATAATGAGTTCAAAGTTGGTGCCTATGAGATCAGTAATACAAGAGCAGCACCAGAGAGAAATGTAATATTGAAAAGAGTCCTGTTTATAATGGGGACAAACATAAGGGACCAGGGAATGAATGTGACAAAGTATATGATCATAGAGAGCAATAATTCTGGTCTTTCAGCAGACTTAAATAAATAGGAATACTGTGTTCATATGCGTACAGGAAGACTGGTGGGGTCAGTTCCCTGCCTCCATCTGTAAATTTGATAGAATTCTAGTAAGAATCCCAGCAGGAATTAGTCTGAACTTGATAAGCGGTTGCTAAAATAACTAAGCAGGAAGAGGAGCAAAGCCCGAGGCCTTGCCCTACCAGCTGTGGAGTTGTGTTTTGAAAACAGTAACATTTAAAATGTCAATTCTAGGGCAGTTCTACTCTTGCCTTGTATCTTTGCTGTGAGTTGGAATTGAGGGAAATAGGCTCAACCAAAGAGGGCCTCCTGGTATCAGACAAGCAGAGAGGAACGTGGGATAATGTGGGGACTGAGAAGATGAGGAGCGATGGGCCTTCCTACACGGTGCTAGTGGGGGTCAGGCACTGAATCTGCTCTGGAGAGACACTTGGCAATAACCGGTGAGATTGAAGATGCACACTGCTAGCTATTTCCCCTGGAGAAAATTTACCATTGCATCCAAGGAGACACATTCCACAGTGTCTGACCTGTAAAAAACTTCTTGAACAAATGAACAAACTGTAGTATTGAAATGAAGGTCATTCTATGTAGTAATGAAATGAATGAACTAGATGTTGAGAGAAAAGCAGGTTGCTGGAGGATGTGCGTATCATATCATTTACACTGTTCAGGGTACCTACCTGTCTGCCCACATCCACAAGGAATGCAGGGGGAGCTGTGAGTCCTCCAGACCTGTGACCAGGAGCACATCGTATCATTTACACTGTTCAGGGTACCTGCCTGTCTGCCCACATCCACGAGGAATGCAGGGGGAGCTGTGAGTCCTCCAGGCCTGTGACCAGGGGCTGAGACCACCCATGGAGATACTGACACGTGGTGGACATGTTGTGGCCGGTGCTGGATTTGAGATGGTACCAGAGCAGTCAGCGATTGGACAGTGATTGCATTGGGCACATTGTGGGTGAGGGTGGGGTTGGTAGCAGAGCCTTCTGGTGTCCTGCATCATGAGTGACTTTCCACCTGAACGTACACCCGACATTTGACAGGTAGACTCAAGGACACGATTGGTGAAGAGCTGCTCCCTCAGACCCTGGAAGCAGGGTCAGAAGATATTAACTGACGTTAACCACCCAGCCAGCCACACGCTGGGCTGCTGCTTGTCTTTGCAATGGTCTCATTCTGGTTTCAAAATAGGAAAGAAAAATGAGTTCCCAAGATTTCAAACCGCTGTCCAAAGACAGCTTCCTGGGACTCATGCTAATCTCCTACCACCCCTCTGATACTAAGAAATGAACCAAGAACAAGCAGAAACCTGTCATTCCAGAGATACTAACGTTCAGAGAGGCCTCAAACCCGCTGTATGTGCATGCTTGTGTGTATGTGTGCTTATGTGTATGGTTTCGTGTATGTGTGCATGTATGTGTGTGTGCATGTGTGCTTACATATCAATATATATGATTGTATGCATGTCCACATGTGTGTATTTGTGCACACACGTGTGTATGCATGTTTGCATGTACGTACGTGTGCATGTGTGTTTATGTGTAGTTGCCTCTGTATGTGCTTGTGTATTTTTTGTATTTTTATATTTGCCCTTTTTTATATTGTACATGCACGTGTGCATAATGTGTGCATGCTTGCAGTATGTGTGTGTGTGTGCCCATGTGCATGCATGTATGTGTGTGTATACATTGTTTGCATGTGTATATGTATGTGTGTAGGTGTGTGCATGTGTCTATGTGCAGGTGTGTATGTCAGTGAGCATGTGTTTGCATGTGTATATATGTACATGCGTGTGTCCATGCAGTCTATGTTCGCAAACATGTGTGTCTGTGTTTTCATGTGTACATGTGCATGCATGCATGCACACACATGTGCCCAGGCATGTCCACCACTGAGCATGTGTTTGTATGTGCATGTGTGTGTGTACGTTGTGGTCATGTGTGCACCACTGAGTGTGTTTGCATGTATATATACAAGTATGCATACATGCACATGTATGTGTATGCATGCATATGTGTGTGTGTGTGTAGTAGTACTGCTGTCCTGGGACCTTCTTGGAAGAATGCACTCAGTGCAGTGCTTATGCTTGGTCGCTGTTGGTGTACAGTGACCATGATGTGAAAACCAGAGTGGTGGACACAAGTGAACTGCTCAGAGATTAGTGACTGTGCTCTGCTCCACCCACATGCATCTCAGTGGCGTGTGCAGCCCACAGGGGCTTCTTCCCTCATAGCCGGCTCTGGTGCTGGTTGGTGATGCGCCCAGCACAGAGTGCTCCATCAATATGTGTTGGATGAATGATTGAGCGAAAGTAGCTCCTTAGCCAGGACTTCGGAGGAGGAGTGGAACTGGGCCTGGTGAAGCAGAAGCCGTGTTTGGAAGAGCATGAGGCACGTGGCAGAGGACTCTGCCAGAGAGATGGATTGTTGGAGTAACTGAACGTCAAGAGGCACTCAGTGATGGGAAAGTGGAGAGGGAATCGGTGCCGCATGAGGTGCCGTTTCAGAGCCCATACTAAGCAGCTTGGGTTCTATTCTAGGAACAGTGCAGCCAGGACCTCTCAGGGTGTGGGGGGCAGACGGTGGGTATTGGGAGGCAGATGGATACAGGCTTGGAGGCAGGAGAAATCTTCACGGGCTGGGTTGGCCACCAGCAAGCTCTGGGTTGCGGTGAGCAGAGAGAATGTTCGGGCATGGAGTCAGCCAGCTCTGCAAGGGGTTTAGGGGCAGAGGGAAGGCAGCCTCAAGGAGGATTCAGGAGTCTCGTTTGATGAAACAGTTACAATTCATCCCAACCGAGGACACTAGAACCAGAGATGGGCAGAGGGAGGTGCGTGAGGAGGGTAAGAAGTGCAGAAACGATGTCCTTTGTCTGAGGAGCTTCCAGGAGGAGAGACCAGAAGGCAGAGGCCTTTGATCAGGAGCCCTTCACAGAACCTTGCTGAAGGGAGATCTGAGACCCTTGGCATTTGAAATGTCAGGAGCAGGCTAGTGCACGCAGAGCGTGGGGCGAGGGCAGGCAGCGGGTGGACAGACTCTCATTGGGCCAAGAGGGAGGGCACCCTAGGCATGTGAAGGGAACGTGTGGGGTGGGAACTGTGTGTCTCCGGAGGCACTGGAGGTTTGTCTGCTGGCGTTCCAGAGGCTGGAGCTGGACTAAGGCTTAAAAGGGTGTCCTCGTGGTGTAAGGCTGGGGGCTTTTGAGGGTAGACAGGTGCTACTGCCAAAGCTGGGTCCAAGCAGAAGGCCCAGCAGTGCAAAGGGCAGGAGAGGGGTGAGTGGGCCCTGTACCCAGGCAGCCCGCAACCAGCGAGGCTGCGAGAAGCAGTCCTGTGGTGTCTGTGTGGTGTGTGTTTAGGGTCAGGGTCACCTCTGTTGGCTGGGGAGGTGGTGATGGTGCTAATGCCGATCAGCCGGCATTTCCCTGGGGGATCCTCACAATCACCAGCTGAATCTGGCAGTGGGGGGGTGGAGGAGGCAGGCCTGCACCTGGGGGCCTGCTTCCAGAGCTACGCTGGTTGGTGCTCCCAGTTGGCAGACCTTTTCTGAAAGGGCTGGTGGTCTTTATGCAGGTAGTGTGGTCTCTGTTTTACTGCTCAACTCTGCTTGTGTGTGACAATAGGCACCACGATGCAGAGCCTAGCGGGCTTGGCTGCATTCCAATAAAGCTTTATTTAGGGACACTGAGCTTTGAATTTCCTGTAATTTCCACATGTCATGAGATGTTATTTTACTTCTAATGTTTCAACCATTTAAAAACATAACAACCCTTGGCTTTTGGGCCACACAGGAGCAGGAGGCATGCTAGATTTTGCTGCCAGTCTGTGGTTGCCAGCCCCTGCTCCGTGTTGGTGGCTCTCACTTGGGTGCACTTTGAATCGTGTGGGAAACTTTGCAAATACCAGTGCCAGGCCTACTTGATGTAGCTGGTTTTGGGTGGGACAGAAGCATCCTGTTTTCCATACGCCCAGGTTAATATATATAACGTGCAGCCATGGTTGAGATTCACTAATCAGACTTCAGATTCCTGGTTAGTAGGGCTGAGGTTAGGCCTTAGAGTCTGTATTTCTAGCATGCTCCCAGGGGTGCTCATGCCAGCAGCCCCACTGTGCCTGGAGTGCCAGGGCGCCCTGTCCCTTGGCTATACAGAGGCAATGGTGGCTGGGCTGTGACATACTGGGGAGCACTGCTTGGTGGCTCAGCTTCATCATCCATGCACAGTGTGTACCTGAAAGGTGGAGGTGGTGTGCCATGGCCGTTGGGAAAGCCAGGCAGAGACCCCACATCCACCCTCGGGGAATGCTCCCTCGGGACTCACTCCACACCTACTTTTCAAGGATGCCTGTGATGATGAGGGGATTTTGGGAAGTGTATTGTCCCTCATTCCCTTGTTTGGATGAGCGTAGTTGGTCTTTGAGGAGTTTTCAGCGCAGTGCAGCTTCGCGTAAGCTCTGTTCCTTTTATAGTTGTCTGAGACTAGTCCTGTAACTGCAGGAACGCAGATGCCGTGCGCTAACTGCTAAGGGGCCGTGCATTTGATTGAATGCCAGGCAGAGCTCAGACTGAGTTTCCCATATTCCACTTCTTACCACCCCTCACTGTGTCTGCAGGTTGTCTCCGAGCATCCTGACGCTTCCGGAGAGGAGATTGAAGAGCTGCTTGGCTCCCAGTGGGACATGCTCAACGCCAAACAGAAAGCACGTTATAACACAAAGTTTGCCCTGGTGACCTCTCCCCAGGCTGAAGAAGACGCTGGTAAACATGAAACCGTGGTAGTCTCCTGCTTTGCGTGCTGTGTGTAGTGGTGGCAGACAGCGTGCCTGTCTGCAACTGTAAGGAAGCAGGTCCACCCGTGGGCTTCGTGTCAGCGACCAGAGTGTATGTGGTTACGGTAAAGTAACCTCTGCTGTCTGTGTGTCCACATTTGTGCTGTGAGTGCTGTTCCCCGTGGAGCCTCTGTCTGACCTGTGGGCCCCACTCCTCTGCCCAAGTGGAGCAGGCACTGTGGCCAAGGGGGTTGGGTGAGGGACATGGAAGGAGGAAGGGAACCAAGGTGGTGTCTAGGACTCCAAGCTCATGTGACTGGGTAGAGTCAGACTTCAAGTGTGTGTACCTCTGAGGGAGACTTTCCCCCCACCACTGTCAAGAGCAGCACCCCCAGTTGTAGCATGCTGCTTCACAGAGATGGTACCTGTAGCCTCACCAGGGGACGTGCCTCCATGGGCGGGGGTGCTGAGTCTGGCTGGGGTGCATTTCCTGGCCCATTTGTTTGAGAAGTTGCAGGGAGAGCAGGTGACTGGTCTGACCTTGAATCTGGGTGATCTTTGGTCTGTGTTAGTTCTCTTAGGCCTTCTGCTTACACAGCCAGATGTTTTGCTTTGGGTGAGATGAGGGAGCCTTGATGTTGGGAGTTTGGAGAGAATGTTTAGCAACAGTTGGGTGTGTGTGTATTTGGACCCACATGTTCTGGAAAAATGATGGTTTTTTTTTTTTTTTTTTTTTCCAAGACTTTATTTTTTGTGATTTGGGTGAAAGTATACAGAGCAAATTCACTTTCCATACAGCAGTTCACATACACTTTGTCTCATGACATTGACCACAATTTATCACAATGCAAGAGCTCCCCTCCTACTTCCTCCCTATAGTTACCTCTTCCCTGTGTCCATCCCTCCATGCACTCCTGCCCCCTGAGCTATCTACCTGTGCATAAGCAGCCCTTCTTTCTCCCATGATTGTTCTCTCCAAGGACTGTATCTACCTCAGGTAAATGTTCAGCTCATATGCCTGTCTTTTGTTTGACTGGAAACCACAGGTGTGGATTCAATTCCAGACCTGAAGGGCAGCTAGGGGCCATAGTCTTAGTGGTTCCACCAGGCTCTGTCAGACCAGCCAACCTAGTCCCCCCCCTCTTTTTTTTTCTCCAGATGATTTTGAGTTTTGTTCCACATTGTTTTCCATCTCTATCAAGGATCTCCTACATAGATCCCCTTCCAAGTGGATGACAGTGGTAGCCGGGCACCATCTAGTTCTTCTGGTCTCATAGTCATATAGGCTGCAGATCAGGTGGTGTACCAGTCGCTAGGACTAATTGTTTCCATGAATTTTTGGTTTTCTTCATTTTTCTTTGCTGTGGACAAGGAGAGACCCATCGTTGCATCTAGATGGCAGCTTTCTAGCTTTTAAGATTTCAGTCACTACTCGCCAAAGTAGGAGGTAGAACAATGTTTTGTATGGTATGTTACGCTAATTGAGCTTGATGTCCCCTGTGACTATGGTCCCGAGCCCACAGGTTCAACTGTTCAGTCCCTCTGGGTAGCTGGCTGTGACCAAGTAGTGACTACAACCTTGCCCCTTGTCTGCTATACACCTGGGAATTCTGATCATTCACATAAACTTATAGGATCTTTGTCTCCCAACCCTATACATGTTCTTGGATACACTCCCCACTTCATAGACATACCTAATAGTTCAGCCTGTCCACCCATCTATCCACCTGTATACCCATATTTGCCTTCACTGACAACGCAGTACTGTATGTGCAAAAGGGTTCATCTTTGTTGTCTGTACCTCCATGTCTGTGTCTTTCTCTTCCTCAGTGCCACCATATTGGTCACTCACATTTGGTACATTGCCCTTCTCTTCGCCCAAAGCAATGCTTATCTCTATCTATCCCCTCCCCTTCCACCCCTGGTAGCCAACAAAGAAAATTTCCTTCTATAGATAAACCTTTTCTTGACTTTTACAATAACAGACTAATACAGTATTTGTCCTTTTGTGATTGACTTATTTCACTCAGCATAACGTCCTCCAAGTTCACCCACGTTATGTGGTGTCTTGCAGATTCTACATTATTCTTTAGCGTTGCATAGTATTCCATTGTATCTATGTACCATAGTTTGGTTATCCATTCCTCAGTTGATGGACACCTAGGTTGTTTCCATCTTTTGGCTGTTGTAAATAGTGCTGTAAATAGTGCTGCGATGAACATGGTTGTGCATATGTCTGTTCTTGTCATGGCTCTCACTTCTTTAGGTATATCCTGGCAAAACTGGAGATCCATTTGCAGAAAAATTACTATATACCTAGTAATGGAATGGCTGGGTCAAATGGTATTTCTAATTCCAACTTTTGAAGGAATCGCCATACTGCTTTCCACAGTGGTTGTACCATTTTACAGTCCCACCAGCAGTGTATGAGAATCCTAATTTCTCCTCATCCTCTCCAGCATTTGTTATTTTCTGTCTTGTTGAACTTTGCTACTAGTGTTGGAGCAAGATGGTCTCTCATTGTTGTTTTGATTTGCATCTCTCTAATAGCTAACGATTGTGAGCATTTCTTCGTATGTTTGTTGGCCGCTTGAATATCCTCCTTGGTGAAGTGTCTATTCATTCATGTCTTCTGCTCATTTTTTAATTGGATTGTTTGTCTTTTTGTTATTGAGGTGTTGGAGTTTTCTCTAGATTCTGGAGATAAGTCCCTTGTCAGATATGTTATTACCAAATATTTTTTCCCAATCTGTAGGTTCTCTTTGACTCTTTTGGAGAAGTCTTTGAAAGCACATAAAAATCTAATTCTTAGAAGGTCCCAATCATCTGGGTTCTCTTTTGCTATTTGTGCATTTTGAGTTATGCTTGATAGTCTATTTATGCCATATATTAAGGCCCCTAAATTTGCCCCTAGTTTTTCCTTGAGGAATTCTATAGTTTTAGGTTTCATATTTAAGTTTTTGATCCATCTGGAGTTCCTTTTTTTGTATGGTGTGAGGTACAGATCTTGTTTCATTTTTCTGCAAACGGATCTCCAGTTTTGCCAGGACCATTTATTAAACAAACATTCTCTTCCTCAAAAATGATGTTTTTAATGTAAATAAATGTGTCATGTTTGCGTATCAGTTAAAAATACAGAAAAATTATGTGTCTCTCAAGATTCAGCATTGAAGAGTTTCGGAGAGGCCACACCAAAACTCACCTAACAGGACCCAAGACTGAGAAGTCATTGCAGTCTGCCTTGGGTTTCCTGCTCACACTTCTAGACCAGCTCTGTGTGCATTGACTATAGTGCTCCACACACTACTGTAACCTTGGTTTTTTCCACAGACGTTTCCGTCTTTACTTCAGGACTTCTTAGATCCCCACGTCAGCCATTTAATTATGCGAATAATGCCCTCTGTCTGGTTTGCTCAGTGCTTGTGGCAGACACTGAACGAGAGCAGCAAGCATCTGTGTCTCCCTACGAGGTGGAGACTCACTTGACTCTTCATCAGTCCACTCAGTAGAGAAGCGGCACTTTTCAATGACTGGCTTATTTGAGAAAATGAATTGAGTTTTCTTGAAGCTAGGTTCCACTTGCCCTTGAGGAGTAAGCTGTGGCTTTGGTTATGTATGTCCCTATTTTGTCATTCTGCACATCTGTCACTGAGCACCTAGTTAGGAGACATGAGTAGTGATGGTTAGTTTCTGTCCACGGTGCGGGTCAGAATGTGTGCTTGTTCTCGGATGCCCTTTAACACTTACTTTTGGGTGAGTTTGGTGTTAACCAGTGACGAGCATGTGCCATGTGCATGGTGTCAGCACTCCTGCTGTGTCAGTGATAGTAACTCAGATCCCTGTCTAGCTTGTCTCCACGAGAAGCCACTCTTGCTTTAAGATGGGTGAGGAGTGGGAAGGGTTTGTGAAGCTCTGTGTAGGCCAGGTTCCGGTTGCTGCTGACAGGTGTCTAGCTTAGTGAACCGTTGCCGATGAGGGGCTTACCTGACTGAGGAGTTTCTGGTGACTTGGAGTGTGTGTGCCGTGGGATGGCTGTGCCCGGGCAGTGGCTGAACTCACCCCACTGTCTGTCACTCTGCAGACCTCTTTCTGGTGCTGTCCTTATAGGCAGCCCGCTGGGAGGTGGCCAGGCGCAGAGCTTACTCAGGATACTTGGTGGGCTGGGCTCACACCAATCTGGACCTGGTCGCTGGTGAGGGTCAACCCTCTAGCTGCTTGAGTCTTTTCCCTGTGACCACAGGCTAGACCGAAGGCAGGGGCCTGCGTGTGTGCTAGCGCCGGGCAGGACCGCTGGACCTCCTCCTGAGGTCCTGCTGGATGCCACAGACCTGGACTCTCCTGTCTGTGCTGGTATGTCTGTCTCATCACTCAGTGATGTGCAGGAGGATGGCACTGCCCTGCATTCTGCAAGATGTTTGGCGACCAGCCCAGCAGTAGCAAATGCTGGGCCTCTGTGAAGCAGCAGTGCTGGTGGAAACACCTGCTTTGTGTTTAAAATAAACCCTGGCACACTCATGTGAAGCACCTGGCAGCCTCTTGTTCCAGGCCAGGACTCAGTGGCCACCGTAAGTGTCAGAGTTGTCAGTATTCCTGGGAACGGTAGTCCGTGGCACAGTCAGATGAGCTGAAGAGGAAGGGCTAGATTTGCAGAGAGAAGTGTAGTCTTGCGACTTAAAGTGATTCTTTAAGGAAATGTGTAAAAGGTAGCAAGTTTATAATTTTTTTTGAAGTTCAGTTTGAATCCCACTAGTCCTTGAATGTTAGGAAAGGGTTTTTAAAATCTGGGTTCATTAAATTCATTGTTGTCGTACATTTTAACCAAACCAGACCCCCTGCTGCCAAGTCGATTCTGGCTCCTAGCAACCCTGTAAGACAGAGTAGAACTACCCCATAGGGTCTCCAAGGCTGTCTTCTTTATGGAAGCAGATGAGCACGTCTTTCGTCTGCAGAGTGGCTTGTGGGTTCAAACTGCCAACCCTTCCGTTAGCAGCTGAGTGCTTAACCGCTGTGCTACTAGGGCTTATCGTTGTGACAGATCTCAATATGATGATCTCTAGATTAGATCAAGAGTTTTCAGTCCCCAGGCTTTGGCAGTGTGATGTTACAGGAAGCAGTTCCTTGGAAATTGTTGTAAAGAGATTTGAACTTGTCACAAGTAGGCCTGCCAGTTCATGGCTGCAGGTGTGGTCCTGGGCTCTTGGATTGTCTGGGGAACTGGGGAGCTCGCAGTGCTGTGCCCCGGGCTTGTTGAGTGGTTTTCATGTAAGTTTCTCTATCCCCCGTTCCAAGGTAACTTAAATGGAAAAAAGAGAAACCACACAAAGAGGACACAGGACCCTACAGATGACTTTGATGTTGAGGAAGCACCCAGGAAGAGACTCAGGATGGACAAGCACGGTCTTCGGAAGGTAACTATCCCCTGGGTTGTCTGCCTTGTGAGGACACACGCTGTATGGCTGCCAGCTCGGCCTCTGCCCCTCCATGGGAACTGAGGGCTGTGGCAGCGGACCTGCGGGTTCTCCCCAGATTGGTCTGCAGCTCAAGACACACTTAGACTTGCTTTTCCTGTGAACCCTGCCGAGAAGGCTGCTTGCTCACCATGGGTGCTCACACAGAAACTTGCTATTCTGCTATCAGAAAAAGAACATCCAAACACTTTGAGTAGTGGTGACTTGATTTTTTAGATTTGACCAAACTGTGTATAACATGTGGCCTTTGTCTATACGAGTTCTTAGCTGGTGTGTAAATAAATGATGAGTTGATGTGAAAACACAGATGTCCACTCCAGAGACAGGCTGCACTTCCGGGAGGGGCACTGAAGGCGCCGGGCTAGGTGCTCTGAATCCGTTCACCATCCAGCAGTTGGTGCTCCTCTGCCCTGCTGGAGTCCTGAGCAGGCGCGGGGCCTGCTGGCTTCACAGAGAAGGGCAGAAGTAGAAAGGCCCACCGCTGTCCAAAGGCCGCAGCGGGGCGGAGGCTTCTTGAGCTGCTGGCCAGCCGAGGGCCAGCATTGGCTTGGTGCCCAGAGGGGAGTTACACTCTCTGAGGCCTCTGCGCTCCGTAGCTGAGAGAAGCCAGGGGTCATTTTGTTGGTCTGAGTTCTTGCTGCTCCAGGCATCAGAAAATGCAAATCCTTCGCTGGTGCTTTATGGCAAGTGTGGTTTCTTGAAGCCCTATGAGATTCCCAGTTAACTTTTTCATGAACTGAGAATTGAAAGAGGCTTTCTGCCCTGTGCTTGGGTTTGGATTGTTTTGTAATGGCTGTGATTGAGTAGCTGTGTGCGTGTGACTTGGAGTCAGGCCTCATACTGCCTTCTGCTGATCTAAATGGAGAAGCTGTTCTTTGTATTCGTTTGCTTTGTTGTAAGAATGGGAAGTAACTCTCACGTACTGCTGCAAGTGCGAATTTGTGGCCCCTTGTCCATCTCACTTCTTTAAAGCCATGCTTGTAGTTCAGAGGAGCAGATGGGCCCACACCTTTTTCCTGGCCAGCAGGTTCTCCAGGGCACCTGCTGTAAGATGGGTTCTTAATGGCCAAGGACCCAGCAGTGGGCCTGTTTAAACTCACTTTGAGGCACCGAGGTTGCCATTAATAGCCAGTGTACCAGGTGTTCCCCTGGTTGCCCACTGGTCGAGCCCCTTTACCAGTAGTTCTTCAGAGACTGGTCACTTGGAAATGTTTGGACAAATTATTTACCTAAAAATTGTGTGGCCTTGGACATCTGAAATACCCAGATTCACATGGAGTAGCTAAGTGGCAGTGAGCTGTTAATAGCTAGCTGAGAACACAGTTTGTAATGGTAAGTGTGGTGACCTATTGTCTCCTCTGGTTGGGTTGGCGTAAACCCAAACCACCATTGCCTGTCGTTCCTAATGCATCCAGCACTTTGGATGTACCAGGCTAAGCCCACAGCACCTGTCCGTAGGCCTTGTGACCCCCCCAGATGGAGTCCTGCCCCTATTCTGATCCTCGGCCGGGGGGGGCGGGAAGGCAGGGTTTGCCTGCAGGGCTCTGCCTCCCCAGGCAGGGTCTGACCCATTGGGCAGTGCTGCCCTGCTGCCCAGAGGGGGCCGTTTTCAACTCCGTTATCCAGACTCGTGGGGGCTAGACCCCAGGGTCTCAGTCCCGTCTGGCTTTTGCTGCTTTTCCAGTGAGCAGTGTGTTGTGTTGATCTTTGTTTGTGAGCTCCTCTGGAGCTTGTCCAGCCCTCGACGTCAGCCGTGTGCTGAGTGGAAGCCGTGGTGCACACAGACTCAGCAGGGCTCACCTCCAACGGCCTAGCTGCCTCACAGCAAGGAGAGGGTTCTTGGAATTCATTTTCTACTTTGACTTCAGAGGGAGGGCGAGGGAGCTCTAGTCCATGTGAGGTACCGCAACATGGCTCTAGCAGGTCTGAGCCCAGCCCTGCCTGGCCTGCCTCACCTGACAGATTTAACGCCAGGGCATGTAGCAGGGGCCCGGAGCAGAGGCACTGGGGATATAGGCAGCCGCAGGCAGGGACCAGAGCAGTCATTTCCACCTGTGTGTGTTCCCATGAAGAGATCTTTCCCTTTTTTCTTTTCCTTTGTTCTTCTTTTTCTTTTTGTAACAGAGAGAGACGTTCACTGACAAAACAGCCAGAACAAACTTTTCTAAGGCCACAGAGGCAGCCTCCTCACTGAAGAGCCAGGCAGGTAATGTGGTCAGCGCTCACTCCCCACCCTGTTTGTCCTTCTGCTCCTGCTGGGTACTCTGGGCTCTGCTGGGAGCCAGACACGAGGGGTTCCACCCTCAAGGAAGTTCTAGTCTGGGGGCAGGGTCCGGACGAGGAGCAAGGAAGTGTACGCCATTACCGTTCGGGTCGAGAACGGGGATCGGTGTTAGTGCCGGCCGGGGAGGGCTCCAGGGAAGCAGCTCGGAGGATCAGCAGGTCAGCCAACACCTAAAGGGCTAAGAAGGAGCCAGCTGCGGGGGACAGGAGGTCCTCATGCAACTGAGAAGGAAACCATTGGAAGTTTCTTCTCTGCTGCTTTCTCTGTGGCTTTTATCAATTTCAGTGTCGAGTTACATGATAGAAAGCAGACCTTGTCAGGTTTCCTGGGATGGGGTCCCTTGTTGTGGTAACTCTGCTCCCCCCCCTCCAGTAGCCTGGCCCTCCCTCCCTCTGTCCCAAAGTAAGAGCATCGACTGGTGACTTCTACTTCACAGGTTGGAGAAGCTAGCAGCCATCTGTGTCCCTTTACTGTGTTATGAACTCCTTTGATAAGCTGTTGGAGAGTTTATTCGTGAAAGCTCATCATCTCCAACTCTAAATTAGAACAGAAAATATTTAGGGGAGAAAGAGTAAGTGAAGGCTGGGAAGACTCTGCTTTCGTTGCTCTTCGTGAGGTGCTGTCCTGTAAACAGGCGAGGAAAGCGTTCACGACCCCTTCTCTTCTGTACACACCTTTGTGAGCAGTTGGGAACTGAGACCTAACCGTGTACATTTTGGGACAGACATGAAGGGATTGTTTTAGTTTAAGTGTGATACTGGGATTGTGGTTAGATTTTAGAAATACAGACTCATCTGTTGTGGATGAAATGATATGTGTTGGTGGGGTTTGCTTCAGAATAAGCTAGGAGGGGGACTAAGGACTGGGTGAGGAGGGCATTAGTGACTCTGGGTCAGTGGTTGTGGGGGCCTGGTAGTGGGTATGTGGGGTTCGTGCTACAGTGTGTCTGCTTTGTTTGTATTCAGATTGTCCCATGATAAAAAAGAGTTAAGCCCTCTTTATAACAAAACACAAGCATACTGCCACTGAGTCAGATCCGACTCATAATGACCCCTCCTTGGGTTTCCAAGGCAGTATCACTATAGAAGTAGATTGCCCAGCCTTCTTTCTGAGGAGTGGCTGGTAGGTTTCAACCTCCAGCCTTCTGGTTAGCAGTCTGATGCCTTAGGCACTAGTCCACCAGAACACCTCTTTATGTCAAAGCAACCCAAAAAGACATCTTTTGTTGTTATGTGCCATTGCGTTGGACCCAACTCATAGCGACTCCTCCTTGGGTTTCCGGGCTGGTATCACTGTGGAAGTAGATTGTGCCTAACCTTCCTTCCAAGGAGTGGCTGGTGGGTTTGAATTGCCAGCTTTCTGGTTAGCAATCAAGTGCCTTAGGCATTACGCTACCAGAGCTCCCAAAAGACATAGTAGAGGTTCATTTATCAGAGGGGTGACTTTAAAGCAGTAGAGACTGAGAATTTATGAATTTAAACTTTACTTTATAAAATTATCTTACAGCAACGAAAAATCTGTCCGATGCGTGCAAACCACTGAAGAAGCGGAATCGAGCTCCCACGGCAGCACCTTCAACTCTCGGGTTTAGCAAAAGTTCATCTCCTTCCACATCCTTAACTGAGAATGAGGTAAAATAACAATACTAATGATAACGGGGGCCTTCGTCGGGAGGCCGTTTAGTTAATCATGTGAGGTGTGAGTGAAGGTCAGACTTCACGAGGTAACACTCGTGTCTCCATAAATGGTGGGGAGGTACAGTTCCCCAGACTCTCTGAAATTTATGAAGTGGAAAAGATCACAATTTCAGCCCATTTGACCACGTCAGATACCCTTCCCCCCATGTCTGTGTAAACGTGTATGTGCATACCTCAGCAGTGAAGCAGTTTAATTGTTCTGGAAACCTGTCTTGACGATTGTATGGTTTATGTAGCAATCACACTGTGATTTTTCACGCGAAAGTCAGTTGCTTTGGTCTCTATAACACCGTTGTGTCAGTTGAGCTGACATTGGTCACTGTGGACTCAAAGCGGGTGGGTCAAGTGCTGCTTCCAGGCCCAGGTTCAGGGAGGACACAGGCGGTCCCTTCAACCCATGCATCTCGTAGCTATGGGCCCTGGTGTTGGCTCCTGTCACATTTTGACATACTCTTAGGTATTTAAGTGTCGAGATGAATCAAAACTACAATTGTAATAAGACTCCTGTTTTCTGGACTTGCAAAATATATAACAAAAGAATAACTTTTTGAGGCTGTTATTGGCCATTGTTGTAACCTGCCATCTAGACTTCATGATCAAACCTAAGGACTTTACCATTGCTAAAAATGAAACAAACAAAAAAACAGCCTTGGACTGCAGACAGGATACTTTGTTTTTCAGAGCTAGTTTTTGATTTCTGGAGCTTACATTCGAGTTTTAAGTTCTCTTTTTTCCCTGTGGTTCCGTTTTCCTCATTAGAAATGAGTCCTATTTCTAGAACTGCATACTATTCACAAGACGTTACCTTCGGCATTTTGGGGACAGAGTAGTGAGATGGAGTGGACAGGCCCCTCACTGCCTGTTGGCCCAGAAGTAGCCAATCCTGTCCTGGGCTCTGCCACAGTAGGGACAGAGCCTGGTCACTCTCTGTCTCAGCCTCAGTCCTTCCTGTGTAACTCTAGGAGGTGGGCCTTTCTGGCATCTGAGGGGCTTCTGGCTCTCAAGGTCAGTGACGTAGTAATGGGGAGGAAGTGCCCAGAGGGCACCGTGGCTCCTGTTCTGAACCCTCAAGGCGGGTGGTGATGGACGTCGAGATTGCTCCTAGCATGGGCTGCTCTTCATGGTGAGATGTCTCTCATATGCGTGGGACGGGGGCTTCCTTCCAGGTTGATACATTAGGTAACTTTGAACATTTCTTATCTTTGGGCATATTCAAGAAAATGTGGTAAGAATTCCCTCACTTGTAGCTCATGGAAACACGAATTATATACAAATAACCAGAGTAGAAAATTAAATGAACGGTGGTCCACAGTTCCAGTAATGAGGGTTCGAAACACAAGGTTCTAGTTCTGTAGATACTTCACTTAAGTTGACTTCTTTGTTAAAAAAACAAAAATGTAGATGAGTTTTTCTTGCATTTACTTTGGCCCACTTACACTGTTGTCAGATAAAATAGAAAGAGGAACCTGAGGCCACTGAAATCTTGACTGTTGTTGCTGACATCAGCTGTGGGTATTAAAGGCTCTGCCTTAGAATAGCGAAGAGTGGGGCTCACGTGGCGAGGGGCAAGGTAAATATAAGTGTAGCAAGGTTTAATGTGATGTTTCTGGCTCGACCTTTTTCTGAACTTGGGAAGACTTAGATGAAGCCTGTCTTAATCACTAGACTTAATTGATTTTTAATTCTTTACAGTGTGAGAGGTTGGTTGGTTGATTATAAAAATCTACAGAAGTCTCACCCTGAGTTTTGAAAGTGAGGCACAGAATCTCATAGGCATTCTATGCCTTATATAAAGACATAGGAATCACTAGGCCTTTTCTATTGGGTCCCCTTCATTGCTTTATATAAACTGTTCCTTAGAGTTCATTTTACAGAATTATACTTTTGATTAAAATAACTTGAGACAAAGGAAAAGACTTGTCTGTTATGTCTATTGTAGATACTTACAGTGTACACACTGCCTAATGCCTTTCAGCACGTGAGTGACAAGTGGTGTTGCAGAGAAAGAAACCTGTAAATAGTCTAGCCCACTTCGATAGCAGTTAGATGACTGAGGGCTTCCTGTTTGTCAGGGTTCGGGGTGCTGTAGGTATATATTTTCTTAGTCACATTTGATTGAAATAAGAATTTCCTTAAAGTTGTTATTTCAAGACATTCTAGGTCACACTCTGCCTTCAGTTCTTCTCAAAAGGGTGTATGTGATAAATGAAGGTTATGTTGGAACGATGGTGACATTGTTTTACGTCACCCTCATGAAGAGACTAGACTAAAATTCCACACGTGCATGACAAAGACCTGAGAAGGAATTAATGTGATTTAAGTGTTTTGTAACTTCATTTCTTATTCCCTTAGTAGAGCAAATTCTTATTTTTTTCGCCTTCACTGGTAACAGCTTTTATGGGAGCCCACATCAGTCAAGTTGGATTTGAACTCAGCTGCAATGCACTGCACTTAACAGGCTGTAATATTCCAAGATGTCTGCTGCAAGTGGTGTCTCACCGTGTACACTAAATGACATTGCTTTCACAGCCATTTATGGAAGACGTGTGGTAATCTGGTTACTGGTATTCATAAACACACACAATGAAGAAAACAGATAACAAATTTTAAGACCAAGGTAAGATACCTAATCAAGGTCATTGAATCAGTCACATTCATCTCATAATAAAAACACATTCATATTCCAACGATTGATGTAGAATTCCAGCGGGAAAGGGCGCCATTGACTCATGCGCTGCCTTAGACCTGTGGCCGTGGCCCCACACAGAAGGCAGTTCATCTTGTTAGAGGTAATTTTGCTCTCTTAGTTTATAACTTACTGCATTTTTCTTGGAAGAAAAAAAAAATGTCAGCATCTGTACCTTCAGAAACAAAAACAGCACACGTTAGAAGGAGTACTTGTCAAATATTCTCATTGCCAATGAAATGTATTCAGAACTGTAGATATTAAACTAATTTACAACATGAAAGCAGGAAGGGTTTTGATTCTGTCCTTTTTTACTAAACAGTTTTACTATGATACTAGAAATTGTAAATTTTTAGAAAAAAATCTCATTTGCAGTATCATTGTGAGCCATTGAAGTCCAGCCTTTTTTTTTTCAGTAGCTGCTCTGGGGGTACCGTAACCAGGTGGTGTACACCAGGCAGTTCAGCAGTCGCTTCCTTAGAGCATTAGCTGTCAGGTGTAGATGTCTTAGTCTTGGATGACCAGCCTGGCCTCATGCCCCAGGGTTTCCGCATGTTTGCATGGTGAAGAAGTTTCACTTACCCTTCAGCTCACAGAGCAGGGTGCGTGCTATTCATGTTGCTATGTTAATAGCACGCAGTTCACCCCCAGCAGACTCTTCAGGTGTGTTTTACCTTTAATGAAAGTTTCTGACTAATCCTTTTGTTCTAAATCATCAAGTAATGTAACGCATGTAAACACTTAGGGTGCCTGGCGCCTTGCAAGGACTCAGTGGTTTGCTGTTGTGACAATAATGGTTATAACAATAAAAATAATAAAATCACCATCATTACATTTTTATCCAAAAGTATAGATTTTGCTTTGGCATGAAGAGCGATTCTCCTGACTCCATTATGCACGTGGGGGTAAAATAAACTTAGAAGCGGCAGAACACGGGGCTTGGTTGTGCTGCCAGCATTTTTAGGGGACTGGATGGTGTGGCTGATGGCTGGTTGGGCTGCTCTGTTGGCTCTGCTCAAGTGTGGTGGAAGTACGGTATCAGATGGTGAGGAGCATTCTACATCATGGTATTTCAGATGGACGTGAAGAAGAGTAAATTGGGAATTTTAGTCACTAAATTTGAAAAATGTGGAAGGAGGTAGTTGGTGTCAAAATGGCCCTGGTGTGGGAGACAGGCTACATATAACCTGAAATGCTTTTGGCCAGAATAGAGGGGTTTCATTTGAAATTACAGCATGATGAATTTTGAATGGTTGGCCAACCAGCTGGCCGACAGGTGGCAGCATAACCCTGTGCTCTAGTGGGTTGGAAGGGCACACGAGGGGTCAGTGCTTTCTTCTCTGTAGTGGAGACAGTGGAAGGCTTCAGTTGACTGAGAGCAAGACCACAGAACAACATCAGAGTAGCATCAGTGAGCACAAAGGGGCATGGAAAGTGGAGAGGGACGGGGGTGGGAACCACTGTGTTTCTCAACCAGGAGAGATGTTGTCCTCGGGCCCCGGGGAAAGTGAGTGAGGAGCAGGCTCAGGTGGACTCGACGTCCTGCGATGAGAGGGACAGTCTCCCGCTCCAAATACCAGTAGTGGCCTCACTGGGGAGCACTGGCAGGCAGAGGGACAGACCATTCCAGGGAGGGGTCGTCTCGGCTTCCCGAGGAGCAGAGTTGGAAGGGTCATTGGTTGAAAGAGCTTACAGTCCAGCACTAGTTTGTCCATGATTCATCATGCTACTAATTTAAAATGGAATTCCTTCATTTCCTCAGAAAGTCAAAATGAAACATTCTCGTCTAAGACAGTTGAAGTGTCTGTTGTTGAGATGGGCTTTGCTTAGCCATCCATAGAGTCATATAATGGTTCCATTTGATTCCCTTCCTCACATCTGCCCTAAACCACAGTATACCTGGTGAGGGAGAAGGCTGTTAAGAAGGAGTGCTCTAAACCTGAGGCATTCACAAGGCAGGAGGACCTATTGGAGTGTAGAAGAGTTTAGATTATCAATGTTTAAAAAGCACTGTGCTGTAACAGAGTGGTGCCTTGACGTGAGGGCACCGGGCTGGCCAGCAGTTGAAGTCCTGCATGGTTTCTCTAAGACAGATCCAGGAGCCATGTAGGGTGGGTTGTTTATGCATCTGCTGCTAAAACTGCCCATCTGCTCCTGAGAGATTTCTGCGTCTCTCATGGGTCTGTCTGCAGAGGTTAACACAAAAGTTAAATGTCTTTTCTTCAGTGGTGGTAACTTGAAGTATAGT